GCTCTTGCATTGCTTTTTGGAGCAGAAGAACCAAGGTAATCTTGTAGCACTGGTCATTGGTGTATCACAGCTAGCATTAACTGTTGTGTAGTGACTGCTTGCTACAGCAAAGCAGCATTTGATTGCAGTGGGTTGTATTTTTTCCCCCTGTACTTTACTGCCAGTGCTACTTATGAGTTACTAAGAGTTGGTTAGATGCTAGTAAGAGTTTCTAGATGTTTCCTCTCCTCACAGGTGTTAACAGTTGAGGTAAATTTTACCTCTCAATGCTATTTTTTTTTCCAGATTTACCAACAAAACATACAGTGCATTCTGTATCAAGTAGCTGAGAAGGAGAAACATCACACTGGACTGCTGCTGCGGTGAGCCTCTGCCTAGGCAGCATGAGAGAAGTGACTGCACTGCAGTCAAATTCATTCCTTCTTTCACTGCCACCTCTGTAACTCTCTGAATGTTTGGTGCTGGGAGTGGACTCTGCCATGCCTTGCTGTTTCTTTGCATGAAGATTATCTAGCTAAAAGAAATCAACCTCTTCCTGTTTGCTATCTGTTTTCTTGAATATTTTTTAAATTTCTGTTTAGTCCTGGAAAGTCATCAGACAGCAAACATCATCATTTATGGTATTAACTACATCTGTTATGGTATTAAAAGAGCCTGGAAGATGCAGAGCCTATCTTGCATTACAGTGAGGAGAGTGATTAAAGATATTATCACATTGCATTGGTTGTAGTTATTTAGTTACCTTATTTTAATGCTATACTGATTGGCTCAGCTGAAACTGCTGATTTCAGATTGTGTTCTGTTTGCTCTGCCTTCTCTTCAGCAGAGACCTGAAGGGGCAGAAGTTGATTTGCACAACTGAGTTTATAGATGCAGCTGGTTTTTGTTCTCCTTGTGAGTAGGAAGGTGCCAAATGAACAAGTGAGAATCATTCTTAATGGGTTTTATTTTTAACTTTTGTGTGTATTTTTGCCTTCAGAGAGGTGGTGTATACGTGGAGAGAAAATGCTCATGCTCTTATACATGAATCTGAGGCAACTACTCGGGCAGATGAGCACTACAGGAGAGCAATCCTGTCAAAGGTAGGATCTGGACAGCAGGTGCCAAGGTCTCAGTACAGCTGCTGGTTCAGGCAGGGGTCAGATAATACAATTAGAAGGATCAAAAGCTTAAATCTGAGAGCCACTACTGAGAGAGATCTGCAAAGTGGGAGTCTCATCTTGTTTTTACAGGTGTCTCTGAAACTTGTCTCTGTAAGCTCGTGGGTTTTTCTCTTCCTTCTTCTCATTCCTTAGAAAGAAGGAAAAACCAGTAGCATGATCCAACATAGTAATATTGGTGAGTGGGGCAGGGAGGGTATGGATGAAAGAGAACACCTTGAAAATGCCAAGGGGACCCTCTGAAATACTTCTGCATTTAATTTGTAGGAAATTCTGTCTGCTGAGCCTTATGTGAAGAATGAGGTGGAAATGGTTCTGTTACAGTGATGGGGGAGTACCTTGTGTCCCCTTCCACTGCAGTGCCAGTCTGTGTCCCAGCTCCTGTTTGCATTGTACCCTCAGGTGCTGCTGCAGTGGAGAGACACAGCCTGGCTACGAGCGTGTCACCGCCACCTGAAGGTGACAGCTGTGCTGGAGGCCAGAAAACAGCTGGATTTAGGTGAGTGATGGAGATGCTGAACTATCAAAAATCCTCACTGTCTGTGAATGAGCCACAGGCAGTGTGTTGTGTTATCTGTACAGATGAGGTGACTGGATGGTCTGTTGTTACAAAGGATGTCCCCACAGAATGGAGAGTGAATTGGGACTCCAGTGATCTGCTGAATGCTGCTTGTGTTACTTTTGTTTCTCTGTTTGCTCTTTGTGCTATATAAGGGATGGTAACACTTCCTTCCTCAAAGGAATTTTCCATTACTAATTTTGAGAACCTCAGACATCTGTTTTGAGGGCAATACAAGTGGTCTTATCAATTACTGCTTCAGTCTTTCTTTAGTAATTCTTACTGAAAGACCCTCAAACTCCAAGCATTTTCATGGTGCCATGGTACATTCTTGGCATGAGGACTCTGAAGCACAGAGGGCTTTCCTAAAGGTTGTAAACAATATCAGTGGCAGCAGGGCAGACTTGCAAGTCACAGCTCCCTGTGTGTTACATGAAATGTTTCACAGTTCTTCCCATACTGAATGCTGTCTGTGCTGAGTGTTGTCCAAGTTGAGTATTGAAACAGTTGGGAAGAGCAGCTGATCACTTGATACTCTGAGATTAATAATCTCCCTTTGGTACATGAATGAATTTATCTTCCCCTAACAGTGCGTTTACAGAGTCTGTTCCTGCACTGGAGGGAATTAATGAGGGATTCTCTGATGCTGAGGGCTCAGCACCGCAGGGCAGCACAGCACCACCAGCAGCACCTGCTCCACAAGTACCTGGTGAAATGGAAACATTATCATCAGCAGTGCCTTGGGAAAAAGGTGAGAAGGATCAGCCAACTTCCCAGCCTGTGGGAAGTCATGGATATGGAGGAACACACTGTGCTCCCTGGTGAAGGGAATGGCAGTCTGGGCTGAGCAGGAGCATGACAGCTTTGTGTGCTGAGGAGGAAAGAGCATGGCTGTGTCTTGCCTGAACAAACTGATAGAAGTAACAGACTTACAAGACAACCTGAGCTAACTGCAAATGAAATCCCTGCTGGGCTTGTAGCTGTCTGCACATGGGGTTACACTGTTGGGCACTTGGGTATTGAGGGTGGCCTCAGCAGAGCAAAGGGAGGGTGATAAAGGCTGTTTGCTGGCTGTTCTAATAGCATTTGTCTAGATAAATGGGGTTTGTCTGCAAGTGACTCACTGTTTTGGTTGCCTTGCAGCTGCTGCAGAGAAGGGGAGATGAACTCATGACTCACAGACTTTGCTCTGCTTCCTTCTCTTGCTGGAAAACTCGGGTAAGGAATTTTGCCCTGGGTAGACACCTAGCTCCTTGCTAGTCATTTTCCCTTCTCCTTCATGTTCTGTTTACACAAGGACCAAGAAAACTTTATTTAAACATTTTCAGGATTTTTTGGTTCATCTAGCATGAGAGACACCTTGCCATAGACTGGGTGAACTGAGGGTTTTCTGCTCTGGCTCTGCCATCACTTCCTCCTTGCTTGGTGCTTTGGCTGGTGTTCCTGATGTTGAGTATGTGAACTCCTAACCTGTGCATTTTTTTTCCCCTAATAGCTGTTGCAGCAGCAATGGGAAAAGCAGAAGACAGTGCAAGCATTGTGGCACTGGTCCCTTTCAGTGCAGAGAAAGGTAAGGGGCTGTGCAGGGCTGGGGCAGGCAAGTGAGTTGGATGATGTGCAGATTTGACTGCAGGCAGCAGAGTGCACACTGAATGTGTTTCCTTTCCTCTTTGGGGTGCTGTAGGTTATTTTGGGATGCTGGAAAACTCCCTAAAATTTCTTAGCTGATTAAAAAATATTCACTTTTTTCCCCATCTGGTCTCTGCTGATTTAAATCTCTGTCCCTTTGTCATCGTGGCAGTGTCCTGCTGTTGCTGCAGCTCTGCTTATTCCTATCCAGAGGAAGGGGGAGGGTGTTGCTGTCTGCAGGGGGAGTCCCTGGCCTGGAACCTGGGTGTGCAATACTCACAGCTCTCATTGTTCCTGTTGCAGGTATTTGATGCTTGGCTCAGGTTTGCCAAGGGGCAGCAGGAGAAGAAAGATGGCATTGAAAAAGTCACAGGAGTTCACCACACAACTCCTTTGAGAGAAGGTGTAACCTGTGCCTTGAGAAACACTGCTGCCATCAAACAGCTGCAGGGACAGCTCCATCCTCAGCCCCAGCTGGAGGTGAGAGAGATTGCTCAGAAATATTTCCAGAACTGGGCTGCTCTGCTCTGTGTGTGTGTGTCTTGCATGTCTGTATCTTGGAGCTCCACATCCCAGCTATTGTTTTAGATCCTACATACACTTCTATCTCTGGTTCAAAGCATTTCATTCAGCTGAGATTAGAGGACTTCAGACTTACTAGGAACATTTCTTAATGAAACTATTTTAAAACTGGCCATTTTCTGCCACAGACAATACTCCTGATTGAAACCTTTGCATGTGGGTCAGGTCTCTAAATTCTGTGCTAGAGTGAAGCATTAGAGACTACATCTCTTCTTGTTTTAGCATTAGCACTGCTTATACCTTCATATGTGGGCTTGTGTCACTTCTGCCTTTGAGTATCAACCCAGCCCTGTGTGTGAAAAGGATGCCTGTATTGACTGCTCTCTTCCTGCCTCTGGGCAGCATTCCCAGCTCTTTCCAGGTTTTCAGGATACCAGTTGTTCCATTTGCTAATGTGCAGCTTGCCTTGGTGCAGAAGTACCCAGTTAATTCTGCTCACCCAAATGTTACCACAGTGGAGCTCTTGATTTAGTTTCAAGAGCTGGTATGGCTTGGAGGGCATCAGAAATCTTGGTTCCTTCTCCATAGTGCTTCTTGCTCTCAGCCATCAGATGCTTTACTATTCTCTGTGTTGGCAGGCAGCCTGCAGTCTTCACCAGTCAGTGTATTGTTGTGCCATGCTGTGGAAACAGAGGCTCTCTCCCAGAAATTAAATAAGCCTTTTTCTTTTCTGCCACCCCTGAAGAAGCAAGTGACATTTAAAAGGCCTGATGTTAGTCCAGAGACAAGAGGGCATTCATCAGAGGAAGAGCCATGGCCTTCAAAATGCAGGCATCTACCACTTCACCCTGCTGAGGAGGGCTCAGTGCTCCGTGGCCTGTGAGTATAAATTTCCAGTCCCTCCACTGTTTCTCTGGCATACAAATAACTTTGCATATATATAATCCATCTGTCTCATGTTTGTGTTTCCAAGTTTTCTCATTGATGACTTTGGTTCCCTGCATTTTCCTTAGCTCTGACTGCATCCTGTGGCTGGTGGTAGAGTTATCCAAGAGCTGCTGTGTAATGCAAACATCAACCCACACATAGGGGGGTATTTATGACTGTACTTGCCAGTGACATGTAGAACCAGCTCAGCTCAGCTCCCACTTCGTGTTTCTCAAGGCAGAACTGACTTTGTGGAGCATTGGCCATTTGTCATAGGAACAGTTATACAGAGAAACACTGAAAGATACCTTTGATGGGACTTGAGCCATCAGGAGAGCTTATCTTGCCTGAGTGGCCCAGTGTCACTGGAGTTCTTGTTTTTTTGCACTGAAGTCACCTGATGAAATTATAAATATCAAGATCCTGGTGTACAGAAGCTGAAGTTCATTCTTGCCTCTTTCTTTTCCCTGGGCAAACTATTCCTTAAAAAATTCTATTGATCATGGGGCAGTTGCAAAGAAGAATTGTCTATGAATCTTCTCAGTGCAGCAGCATAGGAACCCTGCAGGGAAATAAGATTGTAACTTCACATTGCTTTAAGCAAGTATATGCTGCCAAAAGAAGAGTTTCTGCCCTGTTCAGTTGTGTCACTTCCACCATTCTTTGTGTTGGCCCCACCATATGGTGAACTAGATTATCACATTAATACAGGTTGACATTTAATCTTTAACAATCAGGATTGCATGCAAGGAGAATGTTGCAGAGCAGGGATGAATGATGAAGCAGGACTGTTTCTTTAGCTGCAATGCCAGCTGATGCTAGTTTACAAGAATCATAAGCCTGGGGCATTCTTTGTTCTGTTTTTCTTTTCAGAAATGCCATTCAACGAGCCAGGTTACCACCACGGAAGCCTGACTTCCCTCTGGAATCTCTAGAAAGCAAGGAACTGCTGGGATTGCCTTTTACTAGGTAGAAAATCTAATTTTAGAAGTAGAGAGAGTGACTAACAGGGGGCATAGCAGAGCAGCTAATTGGAGAGCTGTATGCAAGGGAGGGACAGGAGTCTCCCCTTTTTTGCACTGAGCTCACAGGACAAGAGCAGCAGGTTGCAGTGTACAGTGACCTTATCTTTCTTCCTGTACAGGTCAGAGGTGCCCTTTCAGCAAACATCTGGGAATAAATGTCCTGCACAGACTGGGAACTTAATGCTGACACCTCACACAGAAGAAAGTACCTGTAAATGTCTGTCTCAGATGGACAATGCTGCTCAGCCCCATCCCTCTCTCACTTGTGCTTCTCTCCCCACATGGGCACAGGACATGCACCGAGCTGGGCAGGGGCCAGAGCTGTGGTCTCCTGCATCTTTCATGTCCCACATGAGAGCTGGCTCAGCAGAGGTGGGTGTATGCTGGAGGAACAGTTAGTGTGTGTGTACTGGGCTGCTGCCAGCAGGCCCATTGCTCACTGCTGTGTTTTCTTGTGGTTCTTCTGAGCTGCCCTGGTTGAGCTGGTTTTCACTTGTTCTAGCTGTCATCTTTAAAGCTGACCAAGTGAACTGCCTCTAGTTTGCCCCTAGTCTGAAGCAATCCACATGTGGGGTTCTGTATTTCATGCCTTTTTTCTGGTTGTTTTCCTAGCAAGTGATGTAGGGTGCTGCCTCTTTGGAGTTCAGAGCAGTCACAGTTTGCTGTCCAGATTGCAGGGGTTTAAGAGAAACTCAGCTTAGGAGCAGTAGGTGTGTCTAAGAGTTTGAAAAAATTGAAATTCACTTAACCTGCAAGTAGGTGCTTGCTTTTTGAACTCCTTGTTCCACACCAAATGGGAAGTTTTAATCCTGGTGAAATATCTCCATGCTAGAAATCAAAGAGCCCATCTTTTAAGCTCTGCTCCTTCTGTGGGATTTTATGAGAGGGGCTCAGCACCTACAGGACTTGTCTGAGTGGGAGTAGGACTAAGAAGGTCAGGCACATCCCACTTGTAGGGTTTACTTAAGAAAACCCTTTGAGGAAAACCCCAATATCATTCTGATCTTCCAGAGAGGAGGTCAGCCTGCCAATGGTCACAAAGGAGCCCATTCTCAAGACTCCCAACAGAATTCTGTGGAGAAGAAGTTGCCCCCAAATTTGCAGCCACATTTGCTCTCATCTGAAGACTTGGTGGGAAAAGGGAGTCACCAGACTGCAGGTACATCCTCAGATCCAAACTGTAGCAGTTGCTCATCCTCCTCTCTGATCTGTATTAGACTGCAAGTCACTGCCACAGAATGTATGGGAGACAGGGCACCCTTGTGTGCCAGCATCAGGAGGTGAAGGGTACCAGTACTCCTTTCTGGGAAGGTAACTGCAGTTGGGTGGATTTTGCTGAGCCTGGGGGCTAAAGCCCTGCTCTAGGCATTGAGGATGGGAGCTGCTTGAACATTCTTTCAGCAGGAATGTGCTCAGGTGCTGGGGTGTTCACATGTACAGCAGAACTTGCTTCAGGAGGGAAGTTCATCCAGTCGAGCTCTCTGAGATTTCCCTGTACTTGCAGCATGGCTGTAGAGGGGACAGATGTGTCTAAACACCTCCCATTGTGGTGTTTGAAATGACACCAGAGCATGACATTTATTCTGCAGGACTACTGCACTTAGTTACTTGTAGACTAAATGTGAAAGACTAAATCCTGAACAGGCCAAAGCAGTATCTGTAGCACTGAACCATCCACCAGAGCATTTTGTATCTTTTATGTGTTCAGACTGAGTCTTCAAGAGCTTGTTCTGTTGTCAGAACTCCTTCCCTCTCACTGTACCTGATCCTTTGGGGTGAACAGGTACAGGTCACAGGGTAACCAAACACATGAAAAGCGCTTGGGAGGGTTCCTTTTTTCCTGTCATTAAAAATATTTTCTGTTTTTTTGACAAGAAGAAAGAGTGGATGTCTGTTCTACCTCCATTGCTTGTGCCTTGTATCTTCCATTCAGCTGAAGGGGAAAAGAGGGAGCACAGATCCAGAGAAGAAACGATGTTGGAGAGAAAGGTGGAAGTTGAACTCTGGCATATCCAGCAGCAGATGCAGTACTACTACAGCAGGAAGCAGGAACTCAAGTAATGCCCCTTTAGCCAGCCTTTCTTCATGTTGTCCACTCTGTTGCATTTTTTCCTGTGTATCTACCCTAGAAATAATCAGTCTGTTCACAGTAGAACTGTGAATGAAACAGAGAGAAGATCCAGAGATTTTTATTTTCTCCTTTCAAGTTCACTCCAGGTGAAGGAGAGTTTGTGCATAACTACTTCTGTAGTCAGCCAGGTGGTTTAATTACACCTTTGGCAGCTCTTGCAGAAGCATGTCAGAGGTATCACTGGGTGTAATCAGTACAAATGAATAGGGCAGAGCAGTTGAAATGTAACTTTTAGTTATTTCATCAAGAGGAGTGAGCTTTTCCAGCTTTCAATTAAAAAAATTAAATATAGCTGGTATTTGATAAGTGCTCTACTAGAACAAGAAAACAGAAATGCTCAAAAGAAATGGGGCTGGGGGGGGATTTAACTGTCAGGAAAAGAAGAAGTCAAGGGCTAGAATCAGGAGGTGGAGATGACAGTTTTCAGATTCCTCTGCTTTCCAGCATCTTTTGGAGGTTTGGGTTTTTTCGTTTTGTTTTGGGTTTTGAGGTTCTTTTACCTTTTAAAAAAGATTTTAACCATTGACTGGTTTGAGACAAAAATATGGGTATAATTGCATGTATCAATTGCAAGTCTAAGTTGGCTTAGACTGTTGAGCTCTTAATTTGGATAAGAATCCTTCTAATCCATTTTATCAGGTGCTGTCAGCAGCAGGCAGAGATTCTGCAGCAGTGGCTGGAAATGAGCAAGCAACCAGGAGCCCAAGATGGTGTGCAAGGAGTTCAGGAAGAATTGGGTCAGGTGTGTACACAGCATTTCAACTGAAGCTACTGAAGTGATTATCACTGTGCCTAAAGGCTGATGGTAGCTGTAAGGAATTGTGTAGTAAGCTGTTAGGAAATTGCCAAGGGAAATTTGTAGTCAGAAGTAGGCTGAGGAGCAGAAGAGGCTGTGTAGATGCCTCTTCCTGTTTGTTCAGAAATGTAACTCCTGCTCCAGCAGACCTTTCTGAGGCTATTTCCTAGCTATGGATCAAGCTTTCATAGACTCAATCTCAACGTTTTTTCTGCAATTTTTTAAGACAATTCCCTGTGTGCAGACTGGACCTGCCCTGCTTTCAGGCCCCAGGGTCACAGAGCCAGGTGTGGGTACTGGTGCCTCTGAGCTGTTCCTCAGTGACATCATCTGCCACATACTGGCCCTCAAGTGAGATAATACAAAAGCTGCTGCAGCAGCTCTTGCTGTCAAAAAGACTAAATATTGTCTGACTGTACAAACTTGTGTTGATGCTGATGCACTTGTGTTCCTTGCAGGTGCAGGTGAGGATCAGCACTCTGACCAAAGCACAGCTGGCTGAGAGGCAGCACGTGCAGGCCTTGCTTGCCCGCCTGCGAGACATCCAGCTCGCCCTGGATCTGTAGGATCTACAACTTCCCAGCTCAGGGGTAGGACTTTTTGCCCCTTTCATAGCAGGGGACAATGGAAGAGATGTATCCATTCACTTAGTTCTATGTATGGAATTTATATTTGATAAATTAAGTGAAAAGAATTTTGCTTTTTTAATTGTTACTGTAGCTGGAGCTACATCTACCTCATGCTGTCCTTGCAATACCTGGTTTAGGTTACCTGTCATGCCACAAAGATAAGCAACACAAATAAGACTCTTTATTTCAAAATGTTTGCAATTAAATGAGTTCATGTCAGTAAGTCATACACTTTGACATACAAAAATACCGTGCTACTGATACAGTTGAATTAAATGGATTCTCCATGCAGGAGAAATTCACAGCATTATCAGTACCCTCGAGGAACTTTTTCACTCCTGGGGTGCATTGCTGGCCCCTGCATCACAAGCAATGTTGGTTTATTAGCTCGTTCTGCACAGTATTAAAACCATCATACCAACAGCCACTTGCATGCTGAATCCTCTCTTCCTTCTGAGATTTCTAATAAAGCAAACATCAAGCAACCCATCCTCCAGCACTAGGCTAATATGTACCTTCAGATACTATGGATGATGCTGCTGAGTAGGAAGAAATTAAAGCTTAAACTTCCTTTGGTTCTGTCTGGATGTTACAGACCCCAGTGGAAAAGAAGGAAAAGATTCAGTTGTCTTTTTCTCTCATCCACTGGAACAAATTTGCTTTCTCTTGTTAACATGACACTGAAGTTTAATCAAAAAGCTCACCCTAACTTTATCCTCTTGGAGTTGATATTTGCCTTACTCTTTTCTCACTCTCAAAGGTTTAAAAAGACTTGTATCTGGTACTATACTGCTGCAGGAGTAAACTTGCTAATACCAAGAACTTTAACAAGATAGGTGGCTGAGAGCCACTTCAAGCTTTCAAACTCCTCCCTGTGTGAGGAAACACTGACTCCTGGAGCCAAATGAATTTTCTCCTGCTTGTCACCCAAACAGCCACCCTCATCTGACTCATGCCTGGCTCCATCACTTAGAGGCAGTTTATCATCCCTTCCTTCCTGATGACAAGCTAAGCATACAGGACTTGGCAAACTGGACATTTGTACAACAAAATTATATTCTATTTTCTGCAGTGCATACAAAGAAGGGTTTCTTTAGGAGATCAGAGCTCATCAAAGCCTGTCATCTCCTTGAAGTAGCAGAAAAGTAGCTCAAGCAAGGAAGTAGTAGGAGAAATCTTTCAGAAAGCACAAAGGCAGGTTTCATAAGCGTGTCCACTCCAACAAGCTCTGGATAGCAAAATCATGTTTGAGTGCTGGAACTTGAAACAGTTTATTCTCAAAAAAAACAATTTATACATTGCTTTAAAACTCAATTCCTCTTCATTTTGGCAGTGGTTTTTGTCAGTGCCACATGCAGTAGATCCAAGGTGTTAGATTTTAACTCTTCTTGATGTGAAGTCACAAAGAGGCTTTAAAATTTTACAGTGGGTTAAGCTTCAGCACAAAGATTTCAGCCCCCAGCACATTCCTAGCATTAAGTATGAGGGTACAAGTCAGAGCCAGTGTGGTTTTTTGTTTTGTATTTTGAATAAGATGAAGTTGTTGCCCAGTCAAGGGAGGGCCAGATTGGCACCTGGGAAGCAACATGGGATTTCTTTAAAAAGCCATAAATATTTTCAACACAGTCAGTGCATAGGGCATTTCACTCTGTACAATAAAAATTGGTCCTGAAGTAGCTGAAGCTGTCCTTTAACAGAGGAACTAATTCTTCAAGAATTTAGTGACAAAGTAACAAGATACATAGCAGAAAGGAAAAGCATACTTCAGTTGCCATCACATCACCCAGCAAAAATATGCCCTGTGTCTTCTAACTCCTTAATCCAAGAGGTGAAGTTAACTGTCTTTCATAAAGACAAAAACTTTAAGGCCTGGAATAGCAAAATAAAACCATGAATTTGGAAGAGGACACAGATCACAAGATGACAAGTTCTGTTGTCTGGAATGTAGACACAGGTTTAAAATACTCTGCAAACCCATTTTTAAAGGAGCAATGTCAGACCAAAGAACTGAAGTTGTCTAACAGTACAGAACTCAGGATGAGGGATGAGTGTCACTCATTGTACTGACTGACTGTTGTACATTTTACTTTGTTTGGGCCATGAAGCCACACCAGCAAATTTCACTGTTTGGCCATCTGTGCATTCAGAGGCTGCTTTTATCTAGTGGGTGGAGTTTCTTAGAATAAAATAAATATGAGAATATATTCTTTACTCAAGGTCTGAAAAACAGATTCTGTAGATGCAAGGTACAAGGTTTGACTCAGCCTGTCAGTGTCCCTTTAAATACAGGTAATCTCTACCTCCACCCTTTCCTACTGCACCTGCCTAGGAAGGCTTAACAGGGACTTAGAGGCTCTAAGAACATAATTATCCTGTGGCACATTCAGGGGAGAACATGAAAGACTACAGGCACAGGGTGGGCCTGAAACCACCATGGGCAACATCTTTAAAGGCAGCTGTACCCGATACATCCATGATCATTCAATTCAGTTTCTACATTCAGCAGCAGGTAAATGTAGACCAAATACTTTCAAGTTTAATGCAGCAGTGACATCTTTCTTCCTCCTCACCCAGGTCCTGCTGAGTGATACAAACTTGCTAAGTGAAACACTCAGTGGTGTGAAAAGAGTCCCTTTTTATAGAAAATCTTCTTGCTGAGACAGTTCCTATAGAGAGCCCAGTGCTTCTCCAAAGCGGATTTTCTGTCCAGCTTTGAGGTTGAATCTGAAGTCCTTGGGTGCCTCAAAGATTAGCACGATCGTAGAGCCTAAGTTAAATTCCCCTAAATGTTCCCCTTTCCTCATGGGGATTCCCTCCTTGTTGTTGTTGGAGATGAAGCTGAAGTCATTGTAGGAACCTTTAGAGTAACTTGGACTGTTCGTGTGCAGGTCCTGTCCAGAGAAAGAAGAGAAGGATTTCAGTGCTCTGTATTCATTCATCACCACAGCTGTGAACTGTACACACTCATGCATTTTCCATGCACAAACTCACAGTGCAAAGGTGCAATAGGAATATTTTTTAAATTGTCTATATTGGAGACAAAACTGTTTAAATCAGTCTTAGAATATCAGTGCTGTGAAACACCCTAATTTCAGGGTAATAAGATTTTTCTTTTTTTTTAAATTTTGTTATGCTGCACCAACCTCAACCATTACCAGAAAGGTGCCTGCTATGATCCTGCTATGCTCACCTGGTCAAAGTAGATGCGGATGGAGCCCACGTTTGTTGCTCCTACAGCTGTTAGTGAGAAGAAGCCATGTTTCCAGTCACCTGTAAGGACAACCCGTTCATTGTGGCAGAACAGTTCCTTGATCCAGCGAGCAACTCCGGGATTGACAGACATCAGAGAGCCTGAAGAAGTGAGAAAATATTCAGGTTAGGTTGTCTGGTTTGTAGTGATAGTGTAATGCCACTCAGATGTTGTTTTCAGTGTAAGTGGAGCTGATCCAGTAAACAGCTCTGTCAGTTATTTGTAGGAAGAGAGGCAAGTGCCAGGCAGAGCAAATAAAAGAGAAGTCTGTGCTGAAAACAAAGGGGTCACAGAAGGATGTGTGTGGTGGGTCACTCTCCCTCTCATGGTGTTTGAAACCAAACCCAAATACTTAAGGGTTTTGCTAGATACCAAGAAGTAAAATATTCTTATCTGCAAGAACATCTGATCCCAGCTCCAGCAGTCTAACTGCTCAGTTGCATTTTCTTTGCCAAGCACAAGCAGAGATCATCCTTTAGGCTGTTTGGTGTGAGCAGAACTATCTGTATTTCAGATGCAAACTGAATAAACAGTGTTTGGGAACAAATCAGCTCAGCTTGAATCAAGGGGTATTTCAAAGAACTCAAACAGTTTGAATACAGTATTACTGTTTTCACCATTTTTATGGTGATTTGCTCTGGTAAACCGTACAGCTGCAAAACTCATTACTCTTTGAGACAAATCATTTTTCTACCATTGTCTATCATATTACTGTACAACTTCTGCACTGGGGTGTCTCATTCTGCAGAGGCCCATAGCAGTGCTTCCCTCCAGAGCTGCTCTGCAGCTGTTTCCTGGGAACAGAAACCAACCTGGGAAATGCCGGCGGTGTGACACTGTCCAGTCTGTGGGCGAGTGGAAGCAGTGATAATCCCCTGGTGCAAGGTAAATTACACAGTGGTAGAGCTCATTCCCCTCCTTTGTGACCAGTTGTTTCTGAAAAGAGTTACCAGCTGGGGCTGCAGAAAAAGAAGGGAAAGGAAGGGGTTAAAGATATTCCTCCAAGTCATCTACCTTAGCCAGGCAGTCTGTGTTAGACTGTGTAATAGCAGAGGATTAAATGCAGCTCACATGGATTGGTGAGACTACAAAAACATAGGTTTCATGCAGAAATCCAATATTTCCAAATGTTCCTTTCCCTTTACAAGAAAATTAGATCCTGGATTGTTTCAATCACAATGAAAAATTTTCTTTTGGAGTTTGCCCTTCCCTAAGCAAAACAGCAGAAACTGAAATGCAGTACAACAGAATTTTTATTAAAGCTATCCTTTAAGAACAGAATTTGTGAAGAGTCCTCTAAGTCATTAGAGGAGTAGTGCTTGAGCATGGATCTTGTTAAGGATCCAGTTTTTGCTAGCCAGTGCTTGGGCCCATTTCAGTGTGACTGCAGGAGTGCTGCAGCCATGGTATACAACAGATATTGGAGTCAAGTGTAGGAACCAAGCAACTCAGTTCAGATAATCAGAATGAGCCAGGCATGACTGTATAAAGGCACTGGTGAGAAAGAGAAGAACTAGAACAGCGACATGGTTACCCGCAAATAAAACAAACCAAAAATCAGACTTGCTTTTGTTCCTGACAGTGCAAGAAAATGTTACATTTTTTCATCTCTCTTATGATTTCTGAGAACACTGAAAGAGTACAGCAGAATAAATGCAGAAGTGACACAGAACTCACCCTGGCTAAAATGCATTTCCTCTGTAGAGATGCGAGGTCCCAAGAAAGATTCCAGAGAATAAGTAACCCCTTTTACTTGCTCCACTTCACAATTTTTTACCTGTCCGAAATTAAGGATCTTTCCATCAGAGGGACTAATCTACAGCAAAGAGAAAAAAAGGTAACAGTCAGCAGTTCATTAATTCCTCATGAAGCAGTGCCATTCCTCTGGGAACTGAGGGAAGTGGCAGTGCAAAGCCCTCCCTCCCTTCCACTCACCACGCTGTGCACACAGCACACCGGCCGTGCCTGCGGTTTCAGCTTCCTGCGGAAGAACTCACTGAGGTTCCTGTAGTGGTGCAGATCCTCCACAGCTGCCTCCTTCATGTTCACCCCGAAGGTCCAGATGTACAGGCTGTACACCGGCTTCCGCAGCCACGTGGGCAGCTCCACCTGGTTCAGGCGGCCCCAGGCTCGCGAGAGCAGCCGCGTCGGGACCGACTTGTACAGGGCAACCTGAG